CTACTCCGCTCCAATACTGCTCCTCAAACTCAGTCAGCCAATTGTATTTATTCACATGTTGACGTACACCCGCGCCATTGGCCGGTCTTGTTTCACCAGACTCTTCCTTAATAATATCAACCATCTGACTAAACGGCCTTGATTCACAATCTGCATCCTCCTGCTTCACACAGACCTCACCTCGAAGAACCGTCTTATCCTCAACCGTACACACCTCAGACTGACTCGAAGTACTAGTAACCTCAGACTCGACAGACTGAGGGAAGTTAAGACGAGCCAACGGACCATACATAGCCTTAGCAGCTTCATCATAAGCAGCTGCAGCTTCTTCAGCTGTAGGAAAAGTACCAAGCCAAAGCCTACTTCCTCTATTCGGTTCCCGAATCTCTGCGACCCATTTACCCCAAATCCTTTGTCTAACTCCTCTGAAACTACATTCAGAATTCTCCGGTCCTCCTTTACCTTTCATACAACCTTTCTTCGACCCTTTTGCAGGAACTTTCCGTTTCGGTTTCTCACCTTCTATATTGGATGAAGCATCAACAAATTCGTTATACTCTTTCCACTTCTTTAACCTATCAGCAACTGTACTACCGTCTGCTCGAGCCCTTGCTTTCCTTTTCTTCGATGTATCGGTTCCAGTTTGTTCATAAACAGCCATCTCCTTCGTGTTAGAAGCAATCAGAGAATCTACAAGAAGCCAATAAAGATTGAATCAGAAAACAAAGCCCTAGCCCTACTATTTATACAAATCCACCTCTCAAGGACAATGAACTGAGAAGTAAACAATTCCAGAAAACAGGAAAATTATCGAATTTATAAGTATCGAAGCAAGGAAAGTACTTGGGCACTAAGCAAGTTTTCCTTGGTCACCAAGGCTTTTCCTTTATCTAGAAAAGCAAAATTCGGAATTAAAATTTCCTTCTTTTTTTTTTTTGCCGAGTCTTGGAGAGTAAGCTAGTGAACGATTGATAAAGCCACCCAAAATTGACGAAAGCTTAAACAAGAAATTAACCCTAATTTAAAAATCCCCCAAATTTCTCTAATAAACAGCGAAAGGGAAAATTCACAAAAACATCTAAAATCCAAAACCTTCGTCGAGACTGATTGATCGCCAAATCGACGATATAACTCAAACCCAGAGAGAAAAACAAAAAATATAAATAAAAAAATCGTAAGAAATCGAAAAATCCACGTACCTATTGTGAATGATAACTTCAAAAATCGAGTCGAATCTCTTCTTCAATGTGAGCAACAATCGATCTCACTCGCAGATATATTAGGAGATGCTTCTTGTTCTTCGCGTTTAACAATCGAATCGGACTTTTTCGCGTTTTCTCTGGAGTTCTCTTTTCCTTTTTTCTTTTTTTTCTTGAGATTAAAATTTTGCAGAAATCAAATGACTAAGAAAACGAAGGGGTCGAAGGGGTATTTATAACCTTCTCTGGATAATTCTGATATTTAATGAGAGTAGTGACATGTCACTCACTAATTCGAATGCTGGACCGTAGACGTCCCAGGAGATTGACACGTGTCTTCATCCTCACCACTGAAAACACGCTCTCAATACGGGTAAGTAATTGAATACTTACCATAGTTGATAAACATTAAACACACACAACAAAGGAGGACATTATTAAATTCAATAAATAATTTGACAAAAAGGAAAAAGTTCATTAAATAGCTAAAAGTTGAAAACTATATTGTTTCCAAAAATTTACATTTACAAAGTTCATTATGTTACATGTTAAGAATATGATTTAGTTGGATTTTAAATTTGAAATCACCTTTTAAGTTACAAAATATTAAATTTTTTTACTATTGATGGAAATATTTATTTTAAAAAATCTCATATTTAATATTTTAGTCTATATATCTGATAAGATTCAATATATTTAGCAAAAAGAATTGTAACAATCTACTATGCATAATCTAAACAAAAAGATTAAACTATATGATAATTTAATATAAATAGTTTCTTAAGTTACCAACATACTTAAATTTCAACTATATATGCCAAAAACTATGATATGACGTAAAATCATCCATTATTAGTCACTAAATTGATATGACATGTTGGTATTAATTACTCACTAAACTGATCGTTTATCATGTTTTATGGTCCGCACTCCGCATGCAAGTTTTTTTTGTTTTTGCTAAAATGTAAATATTTCATTCGAAAAATGAATAAAACTTAGGGTTATAATGTTACTCATAATTTTAAGATATGAATCCACGGTAAAAAAAAATAAAACATGGATATATAAAGCATAACGATTTTCCGTTCGACAAAGACCCTAGAGCCGATAGAGCAGGACGAAGAGATGACGATGTACAAATGTTCTTCCAAAATCGGTTGTGTTTGAGAATCCGAAAGCTAGCACCGAATGAGCAAAGACCAAAGCCTAATGCACTTAGAAACTGTTCAAAAGAGGCCCAAACAAGGAGGTGTCAACGGCAAAGACTTCACCTAGCTCGATCACCGACTCCTCTCGCATCGAGTGAGAGCAACTTGTAGCACTTCCACCATGAGCTAGACCCGAGAAGAACCCCCAAACCCAACGCAGCAAACGGCGCAAGCTTCCCCTACCAAAAACGTTGGCTAGTACAAAGCTAGATAATATTTTATGAACCACATTGCTCACTAATGGCTTACTAGCTCCTCTAAGACCCGAGGCAAGGCTAACAACACTAAGCATTGAACCGCATGCAGGTTTATGGTTCAGCATAATTTCTTTTGAAAATTTTCTATATATGCACTTCCAAAACATTAAACACGTGATTAATTTTTCTTACAATTATCATGCAAAACGTACGTGTGTCGTTACGAACAATAATCTCAAACGTTTTTTTTTATATATATAGAAACGTTCTAACCAAAGATTTTAGACCGTAATAAAATACATTTCATTGACTTCCCCGGTTACACTTTGACTTTGAAACAGGCCCGGCCCTGAGGCCATATACATGAAACATTGGTGTGGGGTCCCAAATTTTTGCGGGGCCCACTTAAAAAAAAAAAATAATGTAAAAATAGATAATTTTGATAGATAATTTGTAATAGAGAACAATAAACAAAACCAAAATAAATTAATGAGAATGAAAATATATATAAACTAGGAAATATAACAAAAATATATCAATTAGTAATATTTTCCTTAGCAAATGTAACTTTTTATATCAAATAAAATTTATGAAATAAATTAAGGTTTTTCTATTGAAATATTTTATATATAAATATAAATATTTTTGTCACAATTTTTTGAAACATTCTTTAGTTTAGAGATTTCGTAATAAATTAATGGAATGCAAACTCTCCAATTATTATTACAAACGAATTTCTGTATTTTTATAAATGAGTCTGTGAAATGAGTTTTATTTGTATAAAAATATCTGAAAGCCCCAAAAAAACGTTTTCGTCGTACAGTAGTAGCAGAGTACAGCATTAGCCGTGGTCAAGTTATACAATATTGCATGTTGGCCACGTGTTTATTTGCTTATCATTTGTGCAATTAAGTGGCTACTTAATTTTATTACGGCCACGGTCTCACGGTGATGATGATTGCCTCTACGTAATTGCCTGCGTACTTAAAAAAGCTTGTTGGGCTTCCAATTACCGGCCCATCATCTAAGCCCTTAAACCGATCCAAATTGACCAAGTGATGACACCGGGCAAGTTGGTTAAACAATGCATGCTCTTAATCTATGTTCTTAGTATTTATCTGATTTAATTTAATTGATAAATGATTATTACTAGTAAAAACTGCTCTTAGTTAAGATTATTTTTTGTATGTTTTTAGGGGAAGTATTATTCAGAAGGAAAAAAACAAAAAAAAAACACGTATTCAACTAAATTGTGAG